ATAAAAAGCTTTCATACAACAAAGGAAACCATCAACAAAACAAAAAAGCAACCTATTGAGTGAGAGATGATACTTGCAAATGATATAACTGATAAGAGGTTAATATCCAAAATATATAAAAAACTATACAACTCAACACCAAAAAAAAAAAAAAACCCAAATAATCCAATTAAAAATGGGCAGAGGACCTGAATAGACTTTTTTCCAAAGAAGACATATAGATGGCCAATAGATAATGAAAAAATGTTCAACATCACCAATCAACAGGGAAATGCAAATTAAAACTACAATGGGATATCATTTTACACCTATCAGAATGGCTAAAGTCAAAAACACAAGAAATAACAAGTGTTGATGAGGATGTGGAGAAAAAGGAATACTGGTACACTGTTGGTGGGAATGCAAACTATGCAGCCATTGTGGAAAACAGGGTGGAGTTTCTTCAAAAAATTAAAAATGGAATTACCATACAATCTAGTAATTCCACTACTGGATATCTACCCAAAGAAAACAAAAAGACTAATTTGAAAAGATATATGCATACCTATGTATATTCCAGCATCATTTACATTACATTAGCCAAGATACAGAAGCAATTCAAGTGTCCATAGATAGATAAATGGATAAAGAAGATGTGATATATATATATATATTCCAATATATATATTATTGAATATTATATGAATATTATATATTATATGAATATTATTCGGCCATAAAAAAGAATGAAATCTTGTCATTTGCAACAACATGGATGGGTCTAGAGGGTATTATGCTAAGTGAAATAAGTCAGAGAAAGACAAATACCATACAATTTCACTCATATGTGGAATTTAAGAAACAAAATCAATGACCAGGGGCGCCTGGGTGGCTCAGTCATTAAGCGTCTGCCTTTGGCTTGGGTCATGGTCCCGGGGTCCTGGGATCCAGCCACACATCGGGCTCCTTGCTCGGCGGGGAGCCTGCTTCTCCCTCTCCCGCTCCCCCAGCTTGTGTTCCCTCTCTTGCTGTCTCTCTCCCTCTGTCTGTCAAATAAATAAATAAAATCTTTTAAAAAAAAAAATCAATGACCAAACCAAGAAAAAGCCAGATCAACAAAAAACCAGACTCAAATATAAGGAACAAACTGGTGGTTACCAGAAAGGTGGGGGGGAGTGGGTGATATAGATAAAGATTAAAAGCACACTTATCCTGATGAGCACTGAGAAATGTATAGAATTGTTGACTCATTATAATGTGCACCTGAAATTAATGTAACACTGTACATTAACTGTACTGGAATGAATGAATGAATGAATAAACTGTTCTTTTCCTTCCTGTTCTCAAGCAACCCCAAGCCTCGACATTCATATGAAGGTAAACAGTGGAGCCAAAGGCAGAGTGTGGGGCCTAGAGGAGTAAAGAGGACAGGGGATGATAGAGGGAAGTCTCCCCAGGGAGGGTGGGGGATGGAGGTGAGAGAGGGCAACAGCCATAGCCAGGAAGTCAAGAAAGGGTTCATCTTCAATATGATAGCTGGGAGGGACAGACCATTCATCTGGGAGAGGAGATGAGTGGGAGGGAAAGGGCACCCAAGGGGAAATGGGCAAAAGAACTGAACCCCAGAGAAGGCAGGAAAGAAAGAGTTCTCTCCTTTTCTCTCCCCGCAAGCCAGGGAGGAACTTCCTGTGGCAGAGAAAGTTCACTCACATGCTGTGTCCCCTGGAAAGGCAATGAGTCTATGGGGTCCACTGGGGACCCCACACAGAAATGTAAGAAAGGAAATAGACACACAGGCAACACACACACAAGTTTAAAGAGACATACAAACTTAAAAGAATTACATTTTGTGCTTTTTTTTTCTTCTGATAACAAAATAAGTGATCATTGGAGAAATTTTGGAAAATACAAAAGAGACACAAGAAACTTTAAAATTGCCATCACTCCACCATTTTAAAAGAATCTATCACATTGTTTTGAAACTTGCTTTCTTTTCTCTTAACAAAGTAACATACATTTTCCTGTGTCATAAAACACTTGTATGCCATACAAATTTTTAAATGGTTATATAACATTTCATTCTATAGATGCCCCATCATTTAGTTAATACCTCTTTGGGCACTGTTGGGCATATTAGGCAGATCCATGTGAGTTCATGCCTCTGGTATCTACCAAGGGCCAGACGCTGCTCCAGGTACTGTGTATACAATGGCAAACCCAGCTTCTATCTTCAGGGAGTTTATGTTAGGGAAGAAAAATTAATAAACAGGCAATTACAGGTTACAGATTTGTATAGGTACAAATCTAAGTCCATAGTGAAAATTTTTAAGAAATCTCATTCATATTTTTTTAACAATGTAATTTTCATTTTAGCTCTTATTCCATTAGGATAATGAAAACTCAGTGTCAATTAATTTTGTATCTCTCCTCTTCCCTTGAGTTGGTACTAAATTTGGCATTGCTTCTTTGGCACCCAGGCAAGTGGTAGGGGGGGAGAAAGTGAGGAGGGGGTCTATTCCTCAGGGCGATCTTCACTCAAACACATCCTGGGATGCCCACCATCCAGTCTGATGGTCACTGGCCAAAACAGGTTACCATGGAGCCCTATTTCAGTCCCCCCCACCGCCCGCCATTCCATAACCTGTGCTTCCCCACCCTTCCTTTCCACAGATTTTTCTCAGGTTTACTATTCTCTAAGGGCTTTCTCCAGGAGGCAGTGGATAGTTCTCCATTATCAGGGAGCTGCTGAAGTCCCTACATTCATTTCTTCTCATTCTTCTTCTTTGATGTTCTGAGCATCTTTCTCTAGTCTGGGGTGGGAGACCAGACAGGGTTGAAAAGGTTTATCTTGCGTAAATGCCCGGCTTCCTTGAGTCCTCTATTTTTTTTTTTTTTTTTTTTTTGTCCCCAGAAACAGTACCTGTAGAAGATGAATGCCAGGAGCAGACAGCCAGGTTATTTTCTTTCTGCTCTGCAGCAGTGATTGCCTAACTGCTTGGGAATAATCAGAGGGGAGAGTGTAAATAGTGGGGAACTCTTTTCTCAATACTCCAACAACATGATCCTTTACAGAGCCAAACAGAAGGCACAAATAAAAAAGCCTACTAACCTAGTCATAGAAGTTGGAGAAATGTTTCCAGAAAGAGAAGATGTCATGGCTAAGACTGAGTGGAGAAAAGGGTGTTAGCCAGGTGACCAGGCAGCAGCAGGAGAAGTCTTCTGGGAGAGAGAGGAGAGGTGCCTTTGGGCACTGCAATAGCTCAGCAGAACTGGAGTGTGAAATCAGAACGGGGGATGGCAAGAAATAAAGGTAGAGGCTTCAGATGCTTTTGCTGATTTTCTTCCAGAAAAAGATTGCTATGGAAACTTGACTGAGAAAGAGAAGGAAAACAAAGGTAAAGGAAGTTATATTTGCTGGAATGATTCTCTTTAAAGCCACCATCATGCTTAAGCCTATGAAAAAAATGGAAAGAACCGAGAATTGTAATTTACCTAAAGTAGAGAAACAGCAGCTTTTGAAGATAATAAAATGTTCATAATTTGAATTATACAGATTCCAAACTTTTGAACAGTCACTCAAGGACAGGGATAAAATGAACTTTACAATTGATTATGATAGACAGATGGGCTAAACAAAGATGACAGAGGAAATATCTAAAGACAGCCATCTGTCACAGCATATTGTCAAACTAGCAGGAGCAGGGGTCACGGAAGGTAACCTGGAGGTCACTAAAGGGTACCTATAACACCCTATAATTCATAACTCTTCACTAATTCTGAAGATATCTATCTGCCTGAGTTAATTTAGGTATAGACTGTCCTAGAAAAAAATGAGATATTATGACCCCTGGAGTGTCTTTCCAGAAGATGATGTAGAATTTGATGATGTTTTTCTGCCATCAATAAACACTGGAGTGCACTTTATGTAAAACTATTTATTTGTCAAAGTAATACTTGCTTTAAGGAAACTAAACCCAAGACAGTCAAACTTGCACTGTATATAAAGAAAGGCTTGAAAACATCGGTACCTGAGGGAGGTGTGAAATTACTTAAACAAGTTCAAGGGCTCAAAATCTCTTTGAAATTCTTGGGGCGCCTGGGTGGCTCAGTCCGTTAAGCGGCTGCTTTCCGCTCAGGTCATGATCCTGGGGTCTTGGGATCGAGCCCCACATCTGGCTTCCTGCTCAGCAGAGAGCCTGTTTCTCCCTCTCCATCTGCCTGTCACTTTGCCTACTTGTGCTCTCTCTGTGTCAAATAAATAAATAAAATCTTTTTTAAAAAATCTCTTTGAAATTATTTTTTAGACATAAGGAGTCGAGATACTATTTGAAAAAATTTGCTTATATATACTGACTCAAGTTCATGCACACTTGTTGAGCAGATAAAACCCCAAAAAGCAGTATGATAGTTTATATTCCCACTAGCTTTATTTGATTACCACTTTAAAAATTCAAAATTATTCTAAGCTAATATTCTGGGGCTCCTAGACACAGATTACAAACATTTCTCACAGTTCCACGAAGTCTTTGGCTGCAAGGTTTTTAACACCACAAGCTGCAGTCCTGTCCTTCTAGTGTTCCCACTAGACTTGTAAGCAGTTGATAGGCTCTTTTGCTACACAGAGTTTTATGTTATATTTCACATTCCGGATGCTGGTTAACCTACATCTCCTCCTCTTTAACAACAACGACAAAATCAAAGAAGCTATGAATATAAAAGGAAACAACAATTTCTTTGGGTCTACTAGACCTTTTAAAACACACAAGGAAGAAGAAGGAAAGGATTGTTCAGTACTCTCCTTAGATGTGTTTCCATGGGCTGGAGAAACTGCCCTATGCTGGGACAAGTTTTGCTGTTTTTTTTAAAACTAGCAGAGCACTTTGAGATCTGATTTTACGGACGCATATGACAACCAGGAAGGAAGCAGGCTGCCGAAGCAACCTCTCTGAAAGAACACAACAGAAAGAGGAAGTATTTTAAAAGCTAGCAAGATGAGTGTTTAATAACACACACAGCTCATAACAGATTAATTTTTTAAAAAGTCTTTATTTAACAACTACGTAAAACACCAGATTGTCATGAATATCAATCTTTTGAAAAGCAATTTACACCAAAATTTATGACATTATTATGTACAATCATTTTCCACGGAATGATCTGCCTAGTTCTCTAGACACCCTTGCCTGGGAGGCCTAACAGCAAGATGGAACCAGCATAGCTTTGGATTGACGTCAAGGGAGCTGCTTGGTCCTAGCCACTTAGACAGATGGAGTGCAGGGAAATGAATCCCACTACCCATTAGGTTCCTTCCATCTCAGAGGCTAAAGCAAAACATGAGTTTATACTGGAGGAGGACTGGCCTGCTGGACTTGCAGTTCTTGTCCACATCCCATCTTTCTTTTCCTTCACTTCAACTACACTTCACCTACGTGCTTTCCTAAAGGCAGTAAAAATAAATACCAGGAAAATCAACCTTCTCTGCATTCATGTCACAAGTTATTTGACACTAGTTAGCAAGAGATGGATGAGACCCACCTACATTGAGGGACTGATCAATCTCAAAGATGGAGCTATGAGAAAAGTAAGTTGCAGAACAATGCATATGGCAGGACAGCCCTAATGCAACATTTAAATAGATGCCAGTCAGCTATAAACTAGGGAGATAGATAGTAAAAATATAGACTTTAAGGAAGCTCACCACTTCCAGGAAAACATTTACCTGTGAAGAAAGGGGAGAAATGTGATCAAGGAGGAATGAAACGGAGTCTGAACTAAAAAAATATTTGCTAGAAAAAAAATTGATGTTTACTGGTACAGCCAACACAGAAGCAAGGATTCTCTGGGGATGCATGTCCACCTGTTGCTCAGCCTCTCAAGCAAAAGCCCATGCCAGATCCTGCACCAAGACCCCCAGAGTTGGAACAACTCTGGGGTTTACACACAGTGACATGCAAAGACAACCTTGTTCATACCTTAGCCCAGTGTGTGTCTTTTTCTAAATGCAAACCTGGGCATATCTGTGCTTTAGTGATAACCATATTGTCATGTTGCTTATTCCATGCAGGATTTTAAATTTTATCTCCCAATGGAACAGTGTCTTCCTAGCTCCAGGCAACAGTCTTGCTGGGTTCTCTATAGGGCGATAACTGTCCTGTTTTGCCTGGGACTGAGGGGGTTCCAAGGTTTGGGTTTTAAATGGGTTGGTCACCCTGGTTCTTTACAGTGTTCCAGAAGACATCAACAACCGCCCACTGTTTTACTAAATCCAAAGAACAAGAAACAAGCCATTAGAACATGCACCTGTGAGACTTACACATTTTTTAACCTTGCCATCTAAAGCTTTTTAGCATAATAAATGCCTAAACTCTTCTATCGTATCTTCAATTGAGAACAAACTAAATTCTACTTATCAAGTCAAGAAATGAGGCAATCATTCATTTTCAAAATCCTGAGACAGCTGTCAGGATTCTTTACCCTGATTATTTCATAATTCATTCACTAGCTCATAGTCTGGATTCCTCCAAATTAAAAAAATAATAATAAAAAGTCAAAGTATATGGGACTAAACATGAGAAAGGGGGAAGTGGCCCAAGCCAAGAGTATTTTCCAGAAAATGTAACTCCAGTGTTAAAGCAGCTTAATATTAAAAAAGAAAGACGAAAGAAAAGAGTTTGCAACAGCAATAGAAATCAGGCATCTACTTTGAGAATTCAGAAGACACAGCACCCCTGGGACTGACACCAGAGAACTTCTCTGAAGCGCTGGCATGGGGTTAAATATTCTCCAGGCAAGAGGGCCACATACACTGGGGCTTGTGTCACAGTGGTTCTAATTTTGCTTTCAAATCCCCCTTAGGATAATATACCCTAAAATACTTTGCATCTATAAGATGTATAAATTACTACAATTCACAAAATATAATCTGCTGTCCATGCGTATTCACTTTTAGCGGCTGATGAAATTCCTTAAACTGTGCTATGGACTGCATGGTGGTGGAGTTCTACAACAGCAATGCCTCTAAAAAGACTGAGGTAAATCTGTACTGTTAGGTTAAGAGAGCACTGCATGAAAGTGGCTGCAAGATGATCCTATGAGGTTTTTTGAGCTGACGTATATCTACAGAGAAGTGAAATGTATTGGAAGAATAAGTCAAACTCTTCTTGTGGATATTTCAAGGGAGCAGGATTTGGGCTGGGAAAAAGAAAGAGGATGTTGCTTCATTTTTGCCTGTCTATATTACTTACATTTTCTGTCGTTAATATGTATTACGCTATCATTAAAAACTCCTTGGGGCACCTGGGTGGCTCAGTCAGTTAAGCGTCTACCTTCTGCTCAGGTCATGATCCTGGGGTCCTGGGATCTAGTCCCACATCGGGCTCCCTGCTCAGCGGAGAGCCTGCTTCTCCCTCTCCCTCTGCCCCTCCTCCCTGCTTGTGCTCTCTCTCTCGTTTGCTCTTTCGCTCTCTCTCAAGTAAATAAAATCCTTTAAAAAAAACTCCTTTTAGAAGTTAAAAAAATAACATTCCAATGCTTCATTGCTTACTAAACTGGATAAAGACTATATATAATCTGTCTAATGCAAAGGATACAGTTTGTTGAATGAATTAAAAATATAGATTAGAATAAGAGATTATGCTAAGTGAAATAGATCAGCAGAGAAAGTCAATTATCATATGGTTTCACTTATTTGTGGAACATAAAGAATAGCATGGAGGACATTAGGAGAAGGAAGGGAAAAATGAAGGGAGGGAAATCAGAGGGAGAGATGAACCATGAGAGACTATGGACTCTGAGAAACAAACAGGGTTTTAGAGGGGAGAGGAGAGGGGGGATTGGTTAGCCCGGTGATGGGTATTAAGGAGGGCACATACTGCATGGAGCACTGGGTGTTATATGAAAACAATGGATAGTGGATCACCACATCAAAAACTAATGATATATTGTATGGTGACTAACATAATAAAATTTAAAAAAAAAAAAAAGAGTGGCATATATTTGAGAACTACTAAGCCTTTTGCCAAACCTGAAAGTAATAGCTATTTTTCTGTAGTATGATAAAAATATCAGTTGCCAGCATCAGTCTAAACATCTGTACTTTTCCAAAACAATCAACAAGGAAGTGATCAGGTTTACTTAAGCAACTGGAGATCTTAGTGATTCTATAAAAAGATGTATTTGGAAAAAGCCCAGTAATTTTAAGGCCCTGTCAAACCATATTGGCAGGAGGAAGCATATAATATACAAAATAAGCAAAAACAGCCCCCTGAATCTGCAGTTATGCAATCAGTGAAATCCTGTCATCATCTTTCCTAACAGAGTTCACCAAATTGAAAAGCATCAGCTCCTCCTCTTTAGTGTTGTCATGGATAACTAACTGATAGCCAAACAAAACAAACAGGGTAAGAGGGGAAATGTCACCAAGTTTCAAAAATATATCTTTAGTACTTGGATTGTTGATCTTTTTTTCTTTTTTAAGAAAAAAGTTTTGGCAACAATTTCTACAGAATGAGAGACAAAAAGACAAACAAAAAATATCTTAAGTAGCCATTAAAAGATTGTAGAACTTACAAAAATATGCTAATCAAGGGTAGTCCTAATGCTTCTTGGTTCCAGAAAACACCAACTGGCTTCTAGGGGCACCCAAGGAGAGAGAGCAAATGGGAGGCAGTGTGAGATAGGGCAGGGAAGTCCGTGCCGGGGTGAGACCCAGGCCAGGTGGAGTGATCAGCCACCCCAAAGCTGGAGGCACTGTGGTCCAACCTCAGTCAAAGATTCTCTTTCTAACAGCAAGCATTTTCTACAAGAGCAACATCTTCTATGTGCATTAATACATTTCTTTTGTGGGCAGAGTCACCTCAAATTTAGATATTATTTCCCTGAGAAATAGTACAACACTTATGTGCTTTTATCCCTCTAGTTAGTGGTCAATACTGAAACACAAGTTTTCTCAGTTTTCAAGCAAGAAATAATCCACATCAAATTAAAGATAGCATTTGAGTAAATGTAAACACACCCTTTGGTCAATTTTCACAGTAATCATCAAAGATGGCAGTCTACAGCAGACCCTGAAAACTGTCCTTCCTTTTGGAATAAGCTCATCTGTCAATTAGATGGAGCTGGTTTTTTTACACTCATTCCTGCTGAGATTCTCCTCAAGTGTTGAATTGAAGCCCCAATTTCCAAGTTTCTCAAAAGAAAAAGAGGGAGTTCAGTCAGCTGTTCCTGTCAAAGTCAGATATTTACAATGAAACAAAATCACTTGTCTTGACATTTTTCATTCTTGAATGGAGGAGTGGCGAATAGATCTGTGATAATCCTCTGGACTGCTAATGTGTTCAGGTAAATCATAGCTCCTCAGGAAATGTCCACTGTTTTGCTGAGCAAAATAATATAGTTGTCTGGCTAGGAGAGGTTCGACCTTTAATAAGAGATTTTAAAAAGATATTTTTGAAATATTCTTTTTAACATCCTGCAATTGGCTTATCACTAAATAACTCAATATCTGAAGATATGGTAAAGTTAAATCCAAGGTTAGGTGCTATCCAAATCAAAACATTCTGAAGACGCAATTTTTTGTTAGCCCTTATGTATACCAACCTGAAAACCGACTCTACTTAATTCTGAGTTTTTACTATAGTTAAAGTCAAAGATGGTATTTTTAAATTAATAGCTGCTTAAAATTTATGTTTAACTAAGCATAAGCAAATCAGGTAAAATGACCAAATTAAAAGGAAATTTGAGGTGATTAATGAACTTTGAGGTAACTCAGAATAATTTAGGCCAATAAATTTTTCCACAACCACAGTATGACAGGGATGAGGGTGTAAATCCTGAACAATTTACAATTCCTGGATGACCTTGATAATCTGTATATTTCTAAGATAAAGGAAAAAAGAAGGAGCAAAATCTATACAAACAACAACACTGTTATTATGGGGAAAGAGAGGTTAATTGACCTCAAGTTCATCTAGTTTGGCTATTTATGTGGATCATATTCACTAAAATAAATTCAGCTTTCAGAATTTCCTTAATTTACAGCATCTAAGAATATTGAATACTTTGTTAATCAATTCTGCTACTAAATTGAGCTTTTATGTTACTTGATATATAGAAACTTAAGCATAATTCATATAAAATACCTGAAATAAATTAAATCCATAATAAAAAGGAGTAGGGACTCTTGGGTGTACACATATCAATTTTTCTTTTCCATCCCAGACAACTCAATTCCAGGGACCCTTGCTTGAGGAACACATAGTTGCCTAACTCAGAGGAGGGCTAGTGCACCCAAAAAACCCTTAAAGTCAGACTGATGCAGGAGTTTTTCACCAACTTTCAAGATATTATTTATCAATACCAAGTTTATTTAGTCATTTAACAATCCTAGGTGTTAAGAGGATATCAATTATTATATCAATTACTGGACAGAATTCAAGAAAAAGCTCTAAAGTCTTTTGGTTGGTTGGTTTCTGATTTTACAATCAAGGAGGAGTACTGTGTGTTTAAAATTAGATAGTGTTTTATTTCAGTTATCAATAAAAAACATTATGAGAACTAAAATATGACCTGAATGTTTCTATAACCAAACCCTAACCCTGAGCTTCACCCTAGAGCTCACCCTCAGCTCGGGCCCCAGGGTAGGTCTCCACACAGCCAGTGGATTGATTCCTAACATCTCCCAGAATGGAACACTTTCTGGGGTCAGACTGATTTTTTTCGTACCTGTTACTGCTTTTGTCTAGGCCCAATAATAACTCTGAAAGGTATGTAGCAATGTAAAGTTTTCAAATTCAAAATCTTGGGTATTCAAAACTCTGTTTTCTGTGGCAAATTTATTCCAAATGTCATCTCTATAAACTTTTTATAAAAAAGATGTTTACGTGCTACAGTTGACCCTATTTTAAACTCTGCTAGAGAACACTGATCTACTTAATTTCCTTGACATAAATTCCTCCAAATAACACATGACCCTTGGTTTCCATTAGTTAAATAATTTCTACAAATCTAGAAATAAAAGAGGACTTGGGAAAAAATTGGGGGGACTGCAAAATACATAGGTCAATGGACAGCTTCCCATTTGGGAAAAGCTTCTCCATCAAGTGAAGGTCAGCTAGACAGCATTTTAAAAGCAATATTAAATATAAAAAATTTTAAAGGGCAACTTTTATCACTAGTCCTTTTAAATCCTTATAAAATGGGAATAGGACAACGTCTTGATCTATACACAAGATGGGACGAATGAAGCCCATGGTTGCAGGTTTGTGATGAGTAGACCTCTAGAGCTGGTAAAAACATGTGGGTCCCTGGGCTGTGCTTCCTGCACCATTCACTGGGCCATGCTTCCTCCTTCATGATTTTCCTGTCACTTGACATATACTTTTCATTTGAGACTTTTCTTTCTTTTTTTTTTTTAAGATTTTATTTATTTATTTGAGAGAGAGAATGAGATAGAGAGAGCACATGAGAGGGGGGAGGGTCAGAGGGAGAAGCAGACCCCCTGCTGAGCAAGGAGCCCGATATGGGACTCGATCCTGGGACTCCAGGATCATGACCTGAGCTGAAGGCAGTCGCTTAACCAACTGAGCCACCCAGGCGCCCTCATTTGAGACTTTTCTAATTGAGACCCCGCCCTTGATGAAAAACAGGGAAACTCAATCATTTGAATGTGACTAAATACTCACGTGAGCAGTGATGAGCTTCCTTTGCCTCTGAGGATCTGGAAATTCTTCTCCGAAGCACAGAGTCACCTGGAATCTTGGCAGGGGACGGCCATGGTGAGCAAAAGCTTGCAGCTCTGGAGAAGCCCCATGAGAAAAACAAAACAAAACAAAATCCTGATCAGAAACCATCATTGCACGTGCCAGGTTAAAGCAGGAAGCAAAAGCTCACTGTTGATTTGGAAAACTAAAATAGGAGTGAGTATTCTTTATTTCTCTAAGTGGGGTTCTTAACTTTTAGACCCCAGATATAGAATTACATGTACGTGTTCATAGGTGTGCTTTTCCTGAGAGGGCTCCAGGTTTCACTTGATTCTTTTTTTTAAAATTTTATTTATTTATTTGAGAGAGAGAGAGAATGAGAGAGAAAGCTTGAGCAGGGAGAGGGAGAAGCAGGCTCCCCACTGAGCAGGGAGCCCAACACAGGGCTCGATCCCAAGGTGAAGGCAGATGCTTAACCAACTGAGCCACCCAAGCGCCCCTCACTTGATTCTTTAAGGGAAATATGCTTTGCAGATTAAGAAACCTTGATCTGCAGCACTGGACCCATGAGAGCACAAAGGGTAGCAGAGGGGAGTGAAGGATGAAGAAAAAGGAAAAGAAATGCAGCCATGTTGAGGCAAAAAAATAATTTATACAAAGGAGAAATTTCATTTAAAAAATCAAAATTTTCTGATTACTTCAAAATGTTATCTCAAAACTGCTGAGCCCTCATAATCCAATATCCGTGCCACTCAGGACCTTTCCATGATTCAGGCATCACTGAAAATGCTTTACTGTTATCTTGGAGACTGAGCACCAGCTGTCTCCTACTTGGCACTAAGCCTAAACTGTGGGACTTTGAGCTGACTTCTTGTCCATCTTGTGGGACTGATACTGATTTGAAATGAAAAAGGTAGTGATGAAACACTAGGGGTCCCCACATTTGTGGATATGTTTATCCTGAAGGCACCACTCCTACCCTAAAGATGCAGAACAAAGACTGTTGGAAAGACACATGTATAATCCCTGACATTGATCCATGTCCCTTTGCCCATATTCAAGATGACTCTTAAGCTCTAACTGCTCCTATTCTTTCCTTTCCACTAGAGTTAAATGTCATTTCTGCAAAAGAAACACACATGGTTGCTGCTACAACTTCTGCAGAACAGTATGCACATGCATCTTGATCAGATATGCACCCTTGGGCTTTGCCTTTAGGGGCTGTCCCTAGTAGTTTGCAAATCCTGAATGGGGAGATATCAAAGATCTTCACTGTTCTCTTCAACTGAAGAAAAGTTTCTAACTAACTCACTGGACTGTTTGACTTCCTGCTTTTTTTTTTTTCTTCCAGAATTCAAATCAAACCTAACTGACTTAGTCAGAATGTGTAAAAGGCGTTCACACTACTGAGGTCTGAGACTACACCTACACAAGCTAATCAGAGTGGCGAGTTGGCACAATTCTCCGAAAAAGTCATGTCTCAAATGCTTGATAACATGAGAACATTCTGTGGGAATCCTTGATTATGCAGAAGCTGGTTTACACAGCTGCAGTTTTTAAGTTCACAGGTTCCTCCTTGAACCTCAGTGAATACTTCAAGATAAGAGGTTGCAGTGAGCAAAAAGCACAGTCCTTGGTTACAGAGGAAGAAAAAAAAACAACTCTTGCTCACAGATAAATATTAAATTCTAGGCAAGTGAATTCACAACCTGCAGATATTCATAGCTGGTACATCATGCCTTTCTGCTTCTTGCCTGTATCCAGCTCTCAGTGACTGTGACTCAAAGTGTAACTTATAGCCTACTTAGAATGGTAGGATTCAAACTCCTAAAACACACATAGTGAGAGAAACTCACAGAAGCAAGTGTCATTCCCCTGGGATACCTTAACTAAAGCCCTAGCCCTGTGGCTTCTGAATCCAAAGAGACCAAGATTCATAGTCTCTGAGGTGATCCAAACCCCCATGGACCCTTTCAGACGCTTTTGCAGACATAAGAGGTGCACACAAGATGCCCCTCAGTAGCTCCTGACTCTTCCTTGGGTGCCCACCATGATTACCACCCTGGACCCCAGAATGGACAAAACAGTCATGGCGCAGATTTGGAGGCAGTTCTGTAGCTCAGAGGGAGGGAGGGGTGTTCAGGCCCACATGCCTTTCTCACCCTGGTGCTGCCTTGGAGAACCAGAGGCTCAGTTCTCCCTCTTCCTCTTGTCACACCTCTTAGTCAAGGGTTAGTCATATAAGGACATATTTGTTTAGGGGCACCAAAAGAGAATTTGGATGAGCCTACAAGAATTTGGGCAACTTAAACCCAAAAGGCTAAGCAAATGTCAACGGTGTCAAAGCACATAGATGTTTCATATTTTTAATTTAAATAAATTGAATCAGGAAGCATATGCAGGGAAAGGAGAGGCATATGAAAATCCAAAGACATAGAGTGTTTCTGAAGGGGCACTTATAAAAGAATAGCTAAAGGACAAGGTACAGAATAAGGTACAGAAAGAGTTGGCAGCTGACAGAACAGCTTTCTCCCTCCAAAAGAGGTATCATCAATATAGATAGTCAAATGAATACTCTGGATGAAGCTTCAACAATAATGTGGCCAGTGGTTTCACAAAAGCCAGTCTGGGGCTAATTTAATTGTCATGAAATCAAAACTAGAAAAACAAAACTTATTGGTTTTAGAAAATATTATTTGAAACATGCATATCATAGAGATAATTCAAAGCCTTCTCATAATTTCCCCTTTGCAAAATCAGTTCCACATACTCTGTCCTTGGTCTCACCTGCTGGAGAGCATCTGCTTAGGGGTAACACATCTCATAACCAAGAATATTAACAATACACTTCTAACCTTATGATTTTCTTAGGAACCCTAAAAAAGCTGAAACATCAGCAGACATGCTTGCTGAGATCATACTGCCAATAAAGTGTAAACCTTATCAGTCTGTGACTATTTGTTGAATACCAGAATTTCAAGATATCAGCCTGAACCACAATCCCCTTGAGCAATCTTCCTCCTCTTCACACCCCTTTGCTTTTGGAAAGGAGCAGGTGGTAGAGGCAGAGGTGAGAGATGAACAAACAGGAAACCTATTCTCAGATCACGCAGGCTCAGGGATTAATAGAAGGAAGACCTCTGTCTGGGATGGGAGTGACCTGTTTGGACCACTGTAGCAGATACAGTGTCACCCCCTCCATTCTGTCTCTTAGGCTCACAGGTGTGGGATGCTCCATTCTAACAGATAATTTGGTACATTACCTGCTAAAAACTGCTGTGTGTCAAAGAGCTTGCAGGTCTGGTCCCTCTCCAGTTTATTGGGCCGGTCACTGCACAGTGCCAGGGGCCCATCCCAGTAGATCCTGCTCTGGCACAGTCTTTTGGCATAAAGCCCGTCGGGGGCCATCCAGAGGACCACACCCCTTTCCAGGTGGCTCAGAAGTTTCTCGATGTTTTTCCTCTGGCCATTGTCCTCTGGGTAGGGGAAAAGGACCTGGTCCAGGTTACTGGCATCGTAGGTGTGCCCGTGGGAGATCCGACAGCCTTCTGGGCTAGACGTGGTCAGCTCTTTCACCAGGATCTCCCGGTAGTACAAGCAGATGTGGAGCCGGCAGTCTGTAAACACAGAGATTTCATGGTCAGTGCTAAGGGACCAAGGAGCACTGGATACACATCAGGATGCCAAACTATTCAATCAGAACATGTGTATTTGGTGGGACACTGGTGTCCCAGAATACTCCATAAAAAGTAGAAAGTTCCAGGGTCAAGAAAGTGTAGGAAACGCTGCATACCCTCATGTCCCTCATGGAGTCATAGACAGTAAGAGATATTAAGGAAATCCTGCAAGAAATCTATTTAATGTTGTCTAACTCAGCATTTTCCAAATTTGTGTGACCATAGATTTTTTTTTGTGGAGGGGGAATCACACTTTACACTAGTTTTCTGCACAGTATATTTGACTTGTATTAGAGAGCACCACTGGTTAAGAACATTGTGTGTCATTGTTTGGTGATGATTATAGCAATGATGACAACAATTATGTCTAAAATACTAAGTCATGTACCACTGAACAAAATTCATCTTTAAGCATGACAATCAGTTTTGATTTTGGAGGAAGTAAACCCTAAGTTTAATTTCTACTAGCAAAAAGAATATAATGGTGTTTCAAAAAATAAACAAAAATGTTTACATCGGAAACCACCCTAAAATATCAATATGATGTCACTTACATAGAAAAAAATATATATATACATACAAGTGCACATTGAAGTTTCAGCAAAGATAAACACTAAGACTTTAACAGTGGTGATCTCTGGGTGGTAGGAATGTGATGTTTTATTTTCCTTTTTTGCTTTTCTGATTGTCACATTAGTTTTTATGCTATGTGTGTATATACTACTTGTATAATAAAATTAATTCACTTGGAAAGAAAAGAATCAATGAAAAAAAATGTTCTAAGGCTAAAGTCCCACTAGGCTTTCAAAATCTGCCTTGAAAATAACTGTGCTTTCTAAAACATTTAACGAGATGAGTTCACTTATGAAATTTTTCTTCAGAATAGGACCCACAAACTGAAAGGACAAAGCTGGGTTTGCAAAGGACCCCTTAACTGAAATGCAAAAGGGCTTCATGCATAGGCAATAGCTACCCATCCATAACTGCATGGGATTTAAAAATGAATGGGAATCGCAGTTCTCCAACAAATGTGCTCAAGGTTGATAATTAATCTGTACTATGCATACCAAAAAAAGAAACCCACAAAACCCTCTTATTCCTCAGCGGCAGGTTTTGAGACTTAAACAACCCACATCACTGTCTCAATTCTCCACTTCAATTTCTGCTGCTGTAAACACACTAGCAGAGAGCAAGCTCAGACAGTGTACCTTGATGACAGTGAGTGTTGGCCATTTGAGGTGACTTGCAGGGCAAGTTTCATTTCATTTAACGTCATCAGAAATCACGAGGTCACAGTGACATAAACAGCTGTTTATTTCCTACTTTCCAGGCACCTACACAGGTCTTAGGTGCTTAAGAGAAGGGCTAGAAAGTTTCTAAAAACAAGCACAAGGCTTTCTGCTCAGAAACATCTCCCCTCCATCATTTAGGAGCATCTAAGAAGAGAGGCAGCAAGCCTCATTCAGAACTTCAGAACTGAAAAGAAATAAATGGTGAACCTGGAAGCAAGAAAGGTGACCACAACTCTTTGAAATCTTGAGAATTTACTTTATACTTTCTATCATTGATTTTTAAAAAGCCCAAGGGGCAAGGTGAGAATTCTGAGGCTTAAGCTATTCATTTTTAATGTAATTATAAGTCCCATTTTAAAACAACCCAGAATACGATCTAAAAAATAAATATATACACACTACATATGCTTAGCAAACCTTGAGGTGTCTTCCTTAAAACAGGTACGATCTTTGAGCTTGCAGGGATTCTTTTAGAAATGAAACTTTAAAAATCAGCTCTAACCCAAATTTTTTGCAAAACCTATCAAATTTTAGACGAAGACTGACCTCAAGTCTCACTACTTTTAGGCATATGAATGGAAAGGAGCCAGAACTCTTGTCCTCAGGATGACAGAGAGGAAGACCTATTTGTAGCTAAACCTGGAAGGATGATCAGCTTTTCAAAATGAGAAACCCTCGTGTATTTTTCTAAGAAATTATACTACATTGTGAAAATTTTGGCTGAAGGGGGGCCCTTGGTATATAAAGCTGAGGTGTTTGCATATTCCTGGAAATTCAGATAGATGTCAGTGGAAACCCTAAAATGACTCAATTCAAACCAGCATTTAGAATTGGCATCAGAATCAAAAGCTGGCTTCTTAGAGCCAAATATTCTAATGATGTCCTCATTCAAAGAGGTTGGGAGTCAGATGTGTCCATACCCACTCTAGTCCCCAGATGGAAGAAAGCCAGTGCCCATGGGCTGTGCTCAGGGATTCCGCACCCCCACCCAATCAAGTATACCCAAAGGTGAGGGTGGAGCCACAGCAGAAGCCAGCCTCCTGTGGGGGCCTCTAGAAGGGAACACTGCACTCACCTGAGAGCGCCAAGGCTTCAGCAGACCTTATGCTTGGCTCTATGGGGATTCCAGGGGCCTGGGACTCAGGCGGGGCACAAGCATAAAAGGTTCCTGTCACCTGGCAACCTGCATTTGTAAATAAGAATCAGATGATGTCTAAACAGAGTCTGTCCAACTGACGACACACAGGAAGGTCTCCTCTCCCTGGGACGTAGCCACTCAGCCCCTGAGGGGTGCACCAACCCTGGAAGGGAGGGGCCAAGGGCCCTCTAGAACTGACCGGTGGCATTCTCAAGGGACAAAGACAAGTTGAAGTCCAATCAGAAAAAACAAGATTGAAAGAGGAAGGAGCCTTTTCATAGCTTTGGAAGGAAACTTGAAATAATCCCTCTATAATTTTTTCTTTCTTTTTTTTTTTTAAGTTAGTTGACACCTTATATTACCTCACATAATTACCACTGTGTGTGTGTGTGCATCTGTGTGTGTGTGTATGTGTTGTATAGTGGGAATATTTAAGATGTGCTCTCTTAGCCACTTTTAATACAATAGAGTATTGCTAAATACAGTCACCATGTACTTTAGATCCCCAGAACTTATTCGTCTTATAATTGGAAGTTGGTACACTTTGAGCAACATCCCTCCATAATTACCCTGATAAACAGGATAACTTAGGCTCAGAGAGATTTATCCTTGTTCACGCAGCAAGTTGGCAGGAGAGCTGTGAGCTCAGGTTTACCTGAGTTCTGATGCCAAAGAGCCCAATTAAAAACTTACAAATTGTTTAGTCTACATTTATTTAGCTTTCTATTTCTGGCTTCAGGAAGAAAATTGAACCATGTGTTTTGGCAGCATAATAGCTGTGGGTCACATCAAACAGTAATAGAGAAAGAATATCTCAAAGAACATAATTTTGGTGGCACTTCTTTTAATGTCAACTATGCTTCAAAATACGTCCACCTATTCCATATTTTTGTGTAGTTTGAGACATTGCCTTGTTACTAAGGTTCTTAGTTCAATAGAGCCCGATGTATTAGACACAAGTCTGAATTTCAGAAACCAGTTTAATGTTAACTAACTCCTCCACTATGGAACGGAAAGTAACCTTTGTTGCAAATCACTCTTGAAAAGCTAATAAAACCAAACTCTGAGCTTTTTTGTAAACATGACACTAAAAACAATTTTAAATGATGGTATACTTCGTCAATTTCATAAAAGCCAAAAGTGACCTGAACATGATTAGAAAAAGGGGGACTGACCAAATTGTGACGAACGAAATATTCCTAGAACATACAGAAGGACCTGAGTCTTGACCCATCTCAGGATTTCTATTTAAATATCTAACTCAAAAGTCCTAGAAGCTTGTGTTTTGCTGTGTTTGATACACTGTATGAAGTTTTCTTTGCACTTAGCTAACTAGTGCTTCCACTGAGTGATCTCATTTTGACGTCTGGGAAACTCCTGTGAGAATGGGACCACATCTAATCCAGAATGAACAAAGTTCTTTGGACCCCAACACCGGCACTAGTCACCTTATGGAGACTGCTTTCTTAGTATTTATTCATTCCATTCTTACTATCATTTCTAAGCCCCAAAATAACTACACTATTGTTGTTGTTGTTTTTAAGTAAACTCTACCCCTGATGTGGGGCTCAAACTCACGACCCCAAGATCAAGAGTGGCATGCTCTACCAACTAAGCCAGCCAGGTGCCCCTTGGGCACACTTGTTTAAGAGAAATATACTAGGTCAATAATCTCCTGATGTTCCTATAGAGAGAAGGTTTGGACACAGCTATGGTATGCCCGTTTTACAGATATGTAGAAAGAAACAGACCGGTGAGATTACTGGCCCAATCAACATTAAGGGACAATCCAGGAGGGAAGACTGACAAAATCTATTACTTTTTGCCAAAGATTATTCAGGGAGGATGAAAAATATTAACCTATCAAACAGATAATTAAAAAAATATGGCCAACCAGTTTGACATCTGAGATCCTCTGTCTTAAATGAAAGAGGAGATCTGAGGTTGAACTCCAGCCCCTCACTTCCACTGGGTAACTTTGAGCATTCCTTACATTCCGTGAGTTAGCCTCAAAAAAGGGGGGGCAGTTTTTAGTTGCTTGGGATGGATCTCTGTGATGTTTATTTTGTTATTTTTATTTATTTACTTATTTTGAGATTAGTGTTCCCCTTTATTTTTTTCTGTGAAGTTTATTTTTTATTTTTTTATTCATTTACTTGAGAGAGAGAGCATGAGTGGGGGGGTGCAGAGGGAGAAGGAGAAGCAGACTCCCCACTGAGCAGGGAGCCTGATTCTCAATCCCAGACCCTGGGGAATCTCTGGGGGATCCCGGGGACCATGACCTGAGCCGAAGGCAGACACTTAACCAACTGAGGGACCCAGGCACCCCTTTCTGTGATGTTTAAATAAGATCTCATGTGACTATGGAGTCTGAGAAACAAACTGAGGGTTTTAGAGGGGACGGGGATGGGGGGATGGGTTAGCCCTGTGATGGGTATTAAGGAGGGCATGTACTGCATGGAGCACTGGGTGTTATACACAAACAATGAATCATGGAACACTACGTCAAAAACTAATGATGTAATGTATGGTGACTAATATAATAAAATTAAATTAAAAAAAAAAAAAGATTTCACGTAAGGCAGTTCCCAGCATAGGTCCTGGCACAAGTAGGCCAGGAGTCAGTAAACCCTGGAGTCCTCCCCCTGACGACCTTCGCTCTCTCCTTCACTGCATGTGACGTCTTTCCTAGCAGCTCTGAGAAGGGGAAAGAACTGGGGTACTGCCCAGAAGGACAGATCAGGAGAGACCAGGACCCTTTGGCCAGGTTTGTTCTGCTGGGTGAGCCACAGCCATAAAAACCAGCCCCAGCATACTCCTTACCATTTTCACAAGACGGGCCTTGCCAGTGGTGGCTGCGGGATCCAAATGTTACAGGACATTGATACGGGATTTCTGGGTGGGGCTGATCAGGGACGTAGTCCCTCCAGGTTCGGTCGTGGGGTGGCATCATGTAGTTATGAACCTGCTAAAGGAATATGAAGGAGCAGCTGAGATGAAAGGCAACCAGCTTGGCAAAGATCAATTGGTTGGCATGGGGAAAGGGGTGGGGTGCAGATTCTTTTATAGTCAGACTCCTCACAGCATCTTTCATTTGGCTGACAGCCAAATCATTTTATCATCTCAAAAGACTTTGGAGTGAATAGCTCATCACACTAGGTGGAAAGTAGCCATAAAGAATCAAAAAGCACAATGAAGACAGTGTTATAAAGTAATGATTTGTGTAAAGCTTCATCATATGGTTAAACCTGGCACCAAAAGTACTGCAGGGAAATTTGCCTTCTTTTACCCACCAAAGTGAATAAAACAGAGCTGTAATTCACATCAGAAAAATCTGAAGAGATCAGCTGCCCTGTGGTTTCACATGATAAAGCACTACTTCCAAAATTTTCATCTTCCACAAAAGATCTGTTTCCCAGATTTCAGAATCAGTAGTAGAAGTCCATGCTAGCAGGCAGACACATCCACCTCTCCACTCCTTAAAACCAACACTGATAGTAACACCAGGTAGAAAGTAAGACACTCATCCAATGACTGGGGATTTGGTTTGGCTGATTGACTAATAACAAAAACAAAGCACTGCTGTTTTGTTTGTGTATTTTTCCTGCTATGTGGGACTAGCCAGCTCACGTGGCCTCACCCAGACCCAGCCTCCCCTTCTAGAAGCCCTGTACCCTCCACCATACCTGAGCTGGGAGTGAGGTATAAGGAGCCGTCATGGTGTAGGGGTGGCTCATGGTCATCTGTGGGTCCTCCAGGGTGAGCTGCTTTGCTCCTATGTGTTTGGGCAAAAGGCAAATGGTAAAGTGTGAAATAAAGGAACTGTCATAACTAAAAGTGAAATCTTAGAAAAATACCTGAGAGTTTAATTCCTAGAATGCATAACGGTGTTGACAAATAAGGCACTTTTTTAGCAATTCCCATGGGCAATTACTTGTTCAGGCCATTAAACTGATTTCTACAAGGTCTGACTTATGTAGGACAGGTAGAGAAGGAGATGAAATGCTGTGTGTGAATGCACTTTGTCACATAAAGGGCCCCACCAGCAAGATGTTCCACAAGTGAAGTCATCTGTATGGTTTGTTTTAAATGCAGATTCTTGGGCTCTACTCTGACACACTGGTCAGAAACTTGGAAAGAGAAGATCTGAATTTCAGAAAGCCTCCAAGCTGACCACAGTATACTCTAAAAGTTGACATTTTTATTACTATAAAGAGTAACAGTATATGGATATATGTATGCTTCCTTTCTACAGAATGGTTAATCATGAAACACTGATAAGTAAAGATAAATCTCTGAACAAATTTTCCATATTTTGTTTGAAAATTTTGGCCCATATCTTACGCCAACAGAACTAACTGAAAAACATGTGCACACACATGCATGTGCATACACCCACAGGTAGAGAGTTGGAATCTGAGAAATCGTCCTACCCTAATACCACAAGAATTTCAATTTATGACCCTGAGAACTTGGGCAAAGAGCCTGTTGGGCTTGAACATGAGGCAGGAGGAAGGCAGGTTATATTCTGTGACCCCAGTCCAGGAGGTCCCACCTTTTTTTGCGCCCTCAGGAACAATCCTGTACACTTTGTAGGGGTCTGAGATGTCCAGCTGGCTCCTCTCTACCAGTTCCTCGAAGTCGTTGCTCTTGTTCAAAGCACATCGCAAACGGGTCTTCCAGGTAGGAGGGTCTGGCTTATCTATGCCTTCTCGGAACTTTCCTTTAAATAGTGCCCAAGCCTTGTGGGAAAGAAGCGGGGGGGGGGGGGGGGAGTTAAAATATAGGTCTTTAAAAAAAAAAAAGAAAGAAAAGAACCTGAGGATTGTATTTCTAAAGGAAAGAATGATGCTTAGGTGCCTCAGATTTATATCGTTGCTCAAAACATGGGACAGAAAGACACTGGGTCTCCACTAGGTAAAATACTTTCCCCGTTGGACTCTATCTTTGCTGAATTGAAAACAAATGGTTTGAGCATTCTCTAGGTATTTATAAGAGGTAGGTGAGATGGGGAGGGTCCCTGGAAAGGGCCCCTAACCACCCCCTCCCCTCACAGTGTCTGAAGTGAGTTCCACTGGAACTAGGGGTGAGCTGCTACCCATAGAGTACATCTGAATGGTCAGATATTCTAAGAGCAAATTCCAGAGGAAGTCCCCTTCGCCTGTTCTGCCCGCAGGTGGTGGGGCTGGGTCCTAATGCACAGTTCATTGGGTAAACTGCTCTAGGGGAAAACAAGCATCTCACACACACACACAGAGAGAGAGAGAGAGAGAGAGAGACCTAGAGAAAAATATCTAAAGAGAGACTTGGAAAGAGGGAATCAGACAGAAACAGAGATAGAGAGAAACACATATGGAAGGATCAAGGAGAGCTAGAAAGATAGAGAGCCCAACAGAGATTGAACTAAAGAAAATAAAAATATCCAGAGAGAAAGACCTCCAGAGAAAAACAGTGAAACAGAGGAAGACAGACAAACGTAGTGAGTGAGAGGGACAGGAAAACAGGCACAAACTCAAGCCCACCTAAGGGTGCTTAAAGAAAAGAAACAGGGAGACAAAGAGAGACACATGTTGATCAAAGACGGCACGGTGGTATCCAGAGGTACAGAATGAGGCTCCGATGGAGACAGAGGAACCCACATAAATGCAAACAGGAACACTCAAGTCAGCGCTGCTCTCCCCGCCAGATATCTATTTCCCTGCTGCTGGAGCCATCTGACTCCCCTGGTACTGCTCATGCCACACGTTCAGGATTAGTACCTGGTCCCCCGTTTCTAAAAACACTACAAAGGTTGAAACCTCTCTCCTCCCCCAGCTTCTACGAATTGCCACCTGATGCTCCCGGACCGCCCGCCCTGCGGGGCTCATCCCATCCCGTCCTTCCCTCGCGGTCCCCTTTCCTCAGAACCGCCAGGCGCGGACTGGGATGGCCACGGAGTCTGGGTTAGGGATCCACCAAGCTCTCTGGGGCCTTCCCTCCACCCCGACCTTGGCTGGGCTCCCCTCGTGCTAGTAACCTTGAAGAGGGCGGCGTCCTCCTCGCGGTTGTAGTCTTGCTTGCCCGCGTGCTTCCAGGGGATGCGGAAGATGCTCTTCTCCTCGTTCTCCCACACCAGCCCTGGGTACTTGCCGCTGTCGATCTGGTCGATCAGCCACTGGCGGAGTTTCCCGTTGCCGCAGCTCACCGAGCTCATGCCGAACTCTCCGCCTCGGCCGCTGCCCTCCAGGTTCATGCCCAGCGCGCCGACTGTCGCCCTCACGCGCCCAGGATCCGCCTCCTGCACTCGCTCTGCGCGGCAGAGAGGAGGGCCAGCCTTTAGCCACCCCAGCACAGCGCTCGGGGCACCCTTCTCAAACCCTTCTGACAATGACCACGAGGCCCTGGAGTCTCCGAGACAGCTAGGAGCGCTCTGCAAAAGTCCGTGTCGCCCAAGGCCCCTGAGAGAAAGCACCTTCTCAGCTGGCCCGGTCTCATCCCCTTGGCACGCCCGGTCCTCAGCCTCCCGAGCGTGCCTCCCGCGGAGTTCATCCTCCTACCCCACCTTCTGGACTCTCCATTCTTGTTACACACCCCACAGGCCAAACGCTGCCCAGGCAACACAACTCGTGCCTTTGTGCACACTTCGAAATCCAGCCACCACCACACTCTGGCACCGTTTGCGTGCTCACTCTTAGTTCCCGCTCTTCTTTGCCCATTCCCAAACGGTTGCCAGTACATTTCTCCCTTCATTGTCAGTTACCACTCGTGCCCACTCCTTTGGTGGGCCCCGCGCGCCAAGCATCTCGCACGTGGGAACGAACGCCTGCGGTCTGGACGTTCCAGGTGCTCAGCATCAGCAACTCCTGCTCGGGCCTTCTCCCATACCTGCACTCTCTGCCCCAAGAGAATCCCTGAGCCTTCGGCAGCTAGCAAGGATTAAGTGGGCCGTGGGAGCAACACGCGGCAGAGACCCGGCCGGAGGCGAGGAGCGCAGCCAAATAGCGGGAGATTCTGGCGCGCAGAGCATCAGCCGGACCCCGGAGGCCCGCGCGAGAGAGCGGAGGCGGGGAGGATGCCAGGAGGGTTCTCAGAGAACACGGGGTTGAGGCAGCAGAGCGCAGGGCCCCAAGTGGCCCAAATTCGGAGCTCCTCCTCCTCCACCACCAGTCGGGGAGCAATGCGCGGGAGGCGAAGGTGAGTTTGGGCCCTTAGGGGCGGCAGGATAAGGAGCCTCAGACTGAAGCCTCTAGAGTAAGAGGCTGTCCTCCCTCAGGAAAGCCCGCCGTCCTGTGTAGGTCCTTTCGATGGCCCCGCCTTGGCCACTTCTGGGGCCCTGACAGCCTCTTTATCCCATCCCGTCCAGCGCGTGGCCTCCCCGGGCCTGGGCGGGGCCGAACCACAGAGTGGTGAGGGCAATGCTTGGGCATTGTCCCGGCTGGCCCACCACAGAGCCCACACAAAGGTCCCGGGGCCCAGAGCAGACGTAGTGGGAGTCGGGGCTCCTTCAAGGGGCATGCTCCCTCTCGGGTCCTAAGCTGGGGTCGCCTGCGCTGCCCTCGAGATGGACCCCTGAACCTCTAGTCTCGTGCTCCCGGTTCTCTATTGTGCCAGCCTCACATCCGTTCTCCTACCCGATCCCAAGCCTTACCTCGCCCCCAACTCGGAGCTGAGGGCAGCAGTGGGTCCCAAGTTCAACTGGTGAAACTAAGTATCGGAGGTGGGAAAGAGGAACTTATAAAGCTTAAAAGCCCGCTGGGGCGGAGCCTGGGGCGGGGCTGGGCGGGTACGAAAGCGCCTGCCCGGTTGGGGCCAGGGGGGCGCTGTGAGCGGAGACTGGGGCGCCGCGGGAGAGCCCCGGGGCCAATACTAGAAGGAGCGTGTGTTGGGGGGTCTGCTGCGGCCAGGCTGGGGGCCCTAGCACCCGCTGCGATCCACCTCGCGTTGCGCGGGGCGAGCGCACCTCGAGTCGGGCGTGCGCGGCCGCGGGGACCTTAATGTGGGCAGGTTTCCTGCAAAGGGCAAGGCGCGAAATGGGGACCTCGCCTCAGCGCCAGGTCCTGCGGGAGGCCGGTTGATAATAACTAATAACAGCGAAACAACTGCGATGTGGTTAGGACGGGAAGTGGGGGCGTGTAGGAGCGGGAATCTGGAGTGAGGGGGACTTCACTTGAAGAGCATGTAACCAAAAACGGAGGAATTGTCCACATCGTAGAATTGTGGGTGGGTGGCGGGCACCCTTGGAATCGCAGCTATTGCTGAAAGCCCTGCCTTCCTAGAGCAGAGTCCTAGACTCTTCCTAGAGCAGAGTCCTAGAGAACATCCTACTCATTAATTAGCAATAATCACGCCTCGGATACTTTGAGCTATAAACTGTGGCTCAAATAATGTCTGTCCATATGTTTGAAATGCTCACAGACTTCTGCATTTATTAAACTGGTGAATTGAGGTTACTCAGAAAGACAATGCATTGCCCCCAAAGTTTCAGTTATGGCAACATAAAAGAGTGGGGGGGAGGGGTCTCGAAGTATCCAAATGCTTAATTGCTTCTGGACTTCAGTTCACCTTAAAATGACATAGTTTTAACATCAGTCTGGTAGGAAGCAATTTTCTAGTGAGATATAAATGTCCAGAATAGAAATAATATTTTAAAAGACCTGAGATTTTACTTAATTTTCCAAGATGTCCTTAATATTAAAATTAACTCCCTGTGCATCTGCCCACTAAGCTTTCACCAGAGCATCTTGTATGCTTCCAGCATGTTTATGTACTTAGCAATTTCAGGTAAACCGTCAGATCACCGGTTTCTATATGATTTTAGACCACCACCACCCTAGGTCAACTTGCAACTTTTGAAAAGCTTTTGATTTCACTTACTTCTCAGTTTTTCTCTTTTAAACTTACATGTTAGGTCAATGTCTCCTATCCAGAGAAAAAACTAAATTTAGGCTAGAGTAAAACAGGCAGTGAGGCACAGATTAGGTATGTTTTTCCTAAAACTAACGGACTTTCTCAGAAATTAACAGGATGCCATATTTTTATTCACCCAAGCAAGTTTTCCATTATCAGAGTCTATGTAATAAATAACAGTTTTGTTCAAAGAAAATTCTAGTCACAACCTGTTTTTCTTCCTTTCTTTTCCTTTCACAGATTCATTCATTCAACAAATATTTTTGAGCACCTGCCACATGTCAGAAACTGTTGTAAGCACTTGGGATACTTAAGTGAACACAGCAAAGATCATTGCCTTCATGTTGATTACATTTTAATCAGTGGGTTACTTTACCCCAAAATGTTCTCAACAAACAGAAAGAGATTGCTAAAAACAAAAACGGCAAATGAGCTTTTTGCCTTTCCTCCTGTGTCTTCTGCACCAGGTTTAGAAAGTTTCAACATTTTCTTCACTCATCTACTTTTAGAAGTGCAAAACAACAGTCATTGTATGAAACTTTCTGAGACTTCACATCTACCTTGCTTTAAAATGTGATTGCTAATCTTCAACGCCATCTTCTGGTTTACTCATTTGTCATATTGATCTGCTAGAAGTGATTTTTGTTTTGTTTTAATGATGAGGTGAATACAAAGAATAATATATTTCAAACACTAAAACTCTTGATGTCCTCATTACCCCTGGTGAAGGGGAGGGAGTAAATAGGTAGGAGTTGCCAGTTACTCAGCAAAGACTTACATCTTAGTCATAGTTGAAACAAAAATGACAAAAGTTTTTAAAAGTTGAGCATTCCCCCCCATACATACACTTGAGTAAACCAAAGGGCTCTTCAGTAACGGTAAAAGACTAGACATTTATCTTCAAATGTCACAACCTGTTAAAAAGTGAAAACAAATAGGAAATCAGTTAATTGAGTGTCTATCCAAAACAGGAGCTGATCATTATATTCCGTGAGGAGGTTATTTCAGTGAGTTTCCAGAAGTTGTAACTGGAGCCCAATCTGAATGGTGCATTGCAATTTTCAATTTACATGACCATAAAAACACTGTAAGACAGGTTACATTTACTTAGATTCAATATGTTAACAAGTTAATTTTTTTAAATTCATATTCAAGAAAAATATTTTTAAAAATTTTATTTAGGGGTGCCTGGGTGGCTCAGTCATTAGGCGTCTGCCTTCGGCTCAGGCCATGATCCCAGGGTCCTGGGATCGAGCCCCACATCGGGCTCCCTGCTGAGTGGGAAGCCTGCTTCTCCCTCTCCCACTCCCCCTGCTGTGTTCCCTCTCTTGCTGTGTCTCTCTCTGTCAAATAAATAAAATATTAAAAAAAAATAAATAAATAATAAAATAAAATAAAATAAAATAAAATTTTATTTATTTGAGAGAGAGAAAGAGTGAGTGAGAGAGAGCATGAGCAGTGGGAGGGGCAGAGGGAGAGAGAGAAGCAGGCTCCTCACTGAGCAGTGAGCCCCATGCAGGGCTCAATTCCAGGACCCCAGATCATGTCCCAGAACCCCAGGGTTCATGACCTGAACCAAAGGTAGACGCTTAACCAACTGAGCCACCCAGATGCCCCAAGAAAAATATTTTTAAAAACCCATCCTAGACAAAACAATAAATTATTGGAATCTTGGGTTGTTGTTTTTTTTTAAGATTTTTTATTTATTTATTTGAGAGAGTGAGCGAGAGAGAGCACAAGCAAGGGGAGAGGCAGAGGGAGTGGAAGAAGCAGACTCCCTGCTGAGCTTGGGGCTGGATTCCAGGACCCAGGGATCATGACCTGAGCAGAAGACAGATGCTTGACCAACTGAGCCACCCAGGCACCCTTGAAATCTTGTTTTTGTTAAAGCTATTTTATCCCTAATTCATTTTTTAAAGGGGGTGGCACTACAGTTTGTTAAAAATAATGGAACTATATGCTTGAAATAGTTTAAAGGGCAATCATTTATAACTACTTATGAAAAATCAGGAAAATACTAAACATATTTTGTTGTTATGATGTAGAATCATATAGGATAAATATCTCCTCCTTGGCAATATGTGTATGCAATGTTAAGTATTACTATTAACCATGCATCTTGTAATGCAATATTATTATACTATTATTGTATTATTATATTATTATATAATAATACTATATATTATATTTGTAATATTATATGTATTATATGTAGTACTAATGGTATTATATAATAGTATACAGATACTAGTATAGTAATATACAATATGCTATAGTAATATAGTAATATACACTATATATGTGTTATACTATTTGATATACTATAGTAATATAATATAGTATTATTGTATTACATTATATAGTATTATAGCATGATTATTGTATGGTACTATTGATAATTAAATACTCAAGTATGAGGGTCAGCTAGATTTGGTTCAAATCCATGAGGTCTTGGGTGAACTATTTAACCAAAGTCTTACTTTCATATATGCAAAGAAGGTAATGGCTTTCTTGCCTGTGATAATGTGCTATGATAATGAAATGATGCTTAGCACAATGCTTGGCATGTCCCAAGTGTTCAACAAATTGGGATTATTATTATTTATGTTGTGCTTCAACATTTAAGAAGTTTCATAGACTTTATCTCGTTTGATCTCCCAACCACATATCTGCCTAGTGGGCAGGGCAGGCAATATTCAGCCCCATTGTACAGATAAGGAAAGAGGTCCACTGAGGTCCAATGGTTTGCCTAAGGACACATTCTGACCAACAGTTCTTTCTCCTAGTCTACAGGTATTTAGCTGCTTGCACTGATATTTCAGAATCAGCCTCTGAGTGCAGGCCTGTCAGTCTGGACGTGGCATTTTCATTCCAGTTGGGCACTCACTGGTTAGGACAACTTGGGTAAGAGGCAATCTTCCTGACCTGTTCTCCTTGTCTGTGAAGTGGAGGCTGGCAGCAGGCAACCACTAAACCTTCTTCCAACCCTAAATAAATTGTTTTCTTATTTCTGCTTTAACTTAAAACCATTAATGACAGTCCAGTGGCCTTTTTGGTTATGGTAAATTCGGAGTAAGAAAAGCTGTGTTTTCCTTTTTTTTTTTTTAAGTCAGTGACCTAACCACTGGTCTTCATTCTTCTTCATGAAGCTATATTCACTTTGAGGAAACTGAAGGAAAAGGTACTGCTTCTCAGCCACTACTCTCAAGTATTTAATCCTTTGGGAAAAAAAAAAAAAAACTAAACTTATAAGCAACTTACATAGGAGAGGAGTTGGGATGGAATACTCTGGAAATGAAATTATATGTTAAATGCTTTCACTGAACACCCAGTTTAAAGGAATTGTACTGATCTTTCTTTGTAAAGTGATAAATTCTAATACCAATATGGTATGTAAATATGATTTTTTTTCATACAGAGTTGCATACACTTTCCTAATTTAATTTGCAAAGTGCTTTGAGTTCCTTCAAGGAAAGAACTTTGCAGAGCTCCATCATGAGCATTTCCAGAACACAGGCTGTTCAAGACTAGCTTGTGAACTCTTTTAGGCCACAGAGCTAATACATGTGGTTTTTCCCTAGGCAGAGTATAACCCACTTTCAGGCTTGTAGGAAATTGGACTGGTCATTTTAATCAATTATGTAATAAAAAGTCACAAAGTCAAAGACGCTAAGGCAATGTCGTCTCCTTTCCCTTTGTTTATAAACAACTGTTCCCTTTTTGTCTCCTCTT